TTGCGCATATCACCAAATAGGTTACCACGACGAGCGATGTTTGCCGAGGCAGGTGGTGGACAGGCAAAAGCCAAGGATGGTCAAGCTAAGACCTGGCACGAGGGTACAACTGGGTCACATTTGTCCCGTTAAGCTCTCTGGTTGGGGACCCAGGGATGATCGTTGGTGGTTAGAGACACTGAGTGATATGGCAGAATGTCGTAAACAATGGCGTTCGTACATCTCATTTTCCTTTCAACTTTAGTCCTCTGAAATCCTCCATTTTCTCTTCGACTCTACTGTGGTCATCCTAGCTTACAGAGTGACGTATTACAGTTTCTGGAGAGCTGTGATGAGTCAAGCTTCTTAGATGACACCAGCAAAGCGCTTACGCAGTACAGCTTCGGTGCAACGAATCACACGCCGACTGTTCCAACCAACCAGAAGCCATGCGGCCAAGACAGAAGCTGTATGACGTCAAGAATACTTGCACGCGATAGGTAGATGCCTGGATAACCAATAGACTTTTTTGTACATGTTATTTAACCTCTTTGATCTCTTCCAATAAACAAATTACTACTTCTGCAGCCTTTTCCTTGCGTCTCGATTACGTGGTATAGCGTCATGCAAATGCCAGTGTGATTCAGTGCTTCCGTGGCATCCGTGATCTGTGCCTACTTCAACCATTACACTTACTTTCTTCTTTCCTATCTTTCTCCATCATCAAAATGGGTTGCTAAAAGATAACAACGAAAACCAGGGCACGAAAGTACATGGTTATGGGTAGGACAAACTGAATTGAGGCTGAAGTCCGCACGTGACCTTAACCGCCGTAATATGGGTTTTCACATCCTTGATCTTCCAGATTCGTGCTAATCGGAGCACGGGATCCGGAACGAACGACCGCAAGCAAACTGGCTCATTTGATGACCCGAGTCGAGGCGTTGGCCTCTGCCCCGCCCGGGGCACTGCTGATCTCTTTTCAAATTCAACCGAACTGTTGGAAAATGATGGCCAGTGTCTATCCGGAAGAACGACTGAGTGATGTGATACAGGAACAAGTGGCGGCCGGTTTTATCCCTCTCGTTCAGGTAATAATTCCCTTTGCGAAACTGATTTCAAAATGGGCTATTCCGGTTGTTAACTGGAATTTTTATTGTTTTTTTGCGACATTTTACGATCAACATGGTTCCTGTTTTGTTCCCTATAGACGTGCGAGTGACACGAGCGACTCTCGCTTAGCCGCCAACAATAACGTCGAGAGAGAACACAGCTTGAGACAACAGTCAGAGTGTGTTTTTTGATTAGATTTCGATACGCAAATTTATAGAACAAGTCACGCATACAAGAACGACGCAATGACACACCAATCAGATTGCGTCCTTGACATCTCGATTAACTGATTGGACAAATATTGGCTGATTCGTTCTGTGATCATCCAATCGAGCTCAGCTTGTCTGGAGCGTTGCGAGCGTGTGTATGGCCTGATTCGAAGGGTTGCTTGAACTCCGTCCTAACAGTTCCCCAAAGGAATTGAAGGTAGCACCTCCAACTGAATAGATATTTCCATCAGGTGGACTGAGAACCATGGGATTTTGAAAGAACAGTTACAACTTCCTCACTACTGTTCTACATTAGCGTTTACGTCTGACAATTGATTAGTATGACAGAAGGTAACCGTATCTAAACGTGAGGATGGCACGAAATACGCGTTTCTCCTTTTTTCCTTCTTTTCTACTGAATATACAAAATTTTACACAAAAGCGAAAGTAGCCAGTCAAGGGGGGGAAATTTGTTGTTGTTGTTGTTGTTGTTGTTGTTGTTGGTGGTGGTGGTGGTGGTGGTGGTGGTGGTGGTGGTGGT